AAACTTTGCAGTTAGTCTTCTATATACTCTCACTCGTATATATGTCGGAACGGGCCGGATCGGACGACTATATCATATAGCTGTCATAGGAATGATCGGAAAAGTTTTACAAAAAAAATTATAAAATTTTTAGTTTTCAACAGAATTTGATCAAATTTGAGATATAGCCATTTCATATTATTCTACAATTTTGTGTAAAATTTTATGAAAATCGGACGACTATATCATATAGCTCCCATAGGAACGATCGAGAAATTAATTCAATTAATAAGTAGAACATTTTCAGTTTTCAACAGATTTTCATCAAATTTGAGATATAGCCGTTTCATATTATTCTACAATTTTGTGTAAAATTTTATGAAAATCGGACTAATATATCATATAGCTCCCATAGGAACGATCGAGAAATTAATACAATTAAATTTATAACTTTTTTAGTTTTCAGCTGATTTTCATCAAATTTGAGGTATAGCCATTTTATATAAGTCTTAAATTTTGTGGCAAATTTCATGAAAATCGGACGACTATATCATATAGGTGCCATACACACGATCGTTTGATGTAGAGGAAAAATGAGAATCTGTGAATGTAAAACTGCAAATATAATATGTATAGGTGAATGAAATGAAAGCAGGTATTACTTCATTGTTTTTTAACACAAATATATATAATTTATATTGTATGGATTCCTATTCATAGAAGTTCTACCTGCAAGGGTATATAAACTTCGGCGTGCCGAAGTTAGCTTCCTTTCTTGTTTAATTTAAGAAATTGAATTTTTTGTCAAGTTTTGGCAAATTTAATGATGTAACCCCTTATAAAATTTTCACTTTTCGGAAAAATTTCAAAAATTTATTTTTCGACCGGACATGGTTAGATCGACTCAGCTTTTGATGCTGATCAAGAATATATATGGTTTGTAGGGTCGGAAACAATTCCTTCACAGCGTTTCAAGCTTCTGACTTAAAGTATACTCAGCAAAAAGGTATAAAAACAGATCATTTTTGTGAAAAATCAAAGATTTTCGAACATCATAATTAGGCCGAAATTTAATTTATTTTAATTTGAAAAGCTTTTCTGTGCTAGTTTTTATTGCACTATTAAATCTGCATACTGCGTTTGTTGATGCTATTGTTAGTTTCTGTCTGAAATTATAAAACCCTGCGAAAAGGTATAAAAACAGACAATGTTGTCCGAAAACCATAGTTTTGAAAACGCACAACTAATCCAAAAAATCATTAATTTTAGTTCGGAAAGCTGTTCTATGCTAATTTTTAATACATTAACAAATCTGCATACTCAGTTTTTTAATTTAAGAAATTGAATTTTTTGTCAAGTTTTGGCAAATTTAATGATTTAACCCCTTATAAAATTTTTACTTTTCGGAAAAATTTCAAAAATTTATTTTTCGACCGGACATGGTTAGATCGACTCAGCTTTTGATGCTGATCAAGAATATATATGGTTTGTAGGGTCGGAAACGATTCCTTCACAGCGTTACAAGCTTCTGACTTAAAGTAAGCCCAGCAAAAAGGTATAAAAACAGACAATTTTTGTGAAAATTCAGATTTTCGGACATCATAATTAGGCCGAAATTTCCTTTATTTTAATTCGGAAAGCGTTTCTGGGCTAGTTTTTATTGCACTATTAAATCTGCATACTGCGTTTGTTGATGCTATTGTTAGTTTCTGTCTGAAATTATAAAACCCTGCGAAAAGGTATAAAAACAGACAATGTTGTCCGAAAACCATAGTTTTGAAAACGCACAACTAATCCAAAAAATCATTAATTTTAATTCGGAAAGCTGTTCTATGCTAATTTTTAATACATTAACAAATCTGCATACTCAGTTTTTTAATTTAAGAAATTGAATTTTTTGTCAAGTTTTGGCAAATTTAATGATGTAACCCCTTATAAAATTTTCACTTTTCGGAAAAATTTCAAAAATTTATTTTTCGACCGGACATGGTTAGATCGACTCAGCTTTTGATGCTGATCAAGAATATATATGGTTTGTAGGGTCGGAAACAATTCCTTCACAGCGTTTCAAGCTTCTGACTTAAAGTATACTCAGCAAAAAGGTATAAAAACAGATCATTTTTGTGAAAAATCAAAGATTTTCGAACATCATAATTAGGCCGAAATTTAATTTATTTTAATTTGAAAAGCTTTTCTGTGCTAGTTTTTATTGCACTATTAAATCTGCATACTGCGTTTGTTGATGCTATTGTTAGTTTCTGTCTGAAATTATAAAACCCTGCGAAAAGGTATAAAAACAGACAATGTTGTCCGAAAACCATAGTTTTGAAAACGCACAACTAATCCAAAAAATCATTAATTTTAGTTCGGAAAGCTGTTCTATGCTAATTTTTAATACATTAACAAATCTGCATACTCAGTTTTTTAATTTAAGAAATTGAATTTTTTGTCAAGTTTTGGCAAATTTAATGATTTAACCCCTTATAAAATTTTCACTTTTCGGAAAAATTTCAAAAATTTATTTTTCGACCGGACATGGTTAGATCGACTCAGCTTTTGATGCTGATCAAGAATATATATGGTTTGTAGGGTCGGAAACGATTCCTTCACAGCGTTACAAGCTTCTGACTTAAAGTAAGCCCAGCAAAAAGGTATAAAAACAGACAATTTTTGTGAAAATTCAGATTTTCGGACATCATAATTAGGCCGAAATTTCCTTTATTTTAATTCGGAAAGCGTTTCTGGGCTAGTTTTTATTGCACTATTAAATCTGCATACTGCGTTTGTTGATGCTATTGTTAGTTTCTGTCTGAAATTATAAAACCCTGCGAAAAGGTATAAAAACAGACAATGTTGTCCGAAAACCATAGTTTTGAAAACGCACAACTAATCCAAAAAATCATTAATTTTAATTCGGAAAGCTGTTCTATGCTAATTTTTAATACATTAACAAATCTGCATACTCAGTTTTTTAATTTAAGAAATTGAATTTTTTGTCAAGTTTTGGCAAATTTAATGATGTAACCCCTTATAAAATTTTCACTTTTCGGAAAAATTTCAAAAATTTATTTTTCGACCGGACATGGTTAGATCGACTCAGCTTTTGATGCTGATCAAGAATATATATGGTTTGTAGGGTCGGAAACAATTCCTTCACAGCGTTTCAAGCTTCTGACTTAAAGTATACTCAGCAAAAAGGTATAAAAACAGATCATTTTTGTGAAAAATCAAAGATTTTCGAACATCATAATTAGGCCGAAATTTAATTTATTTTAATTTGAAAAGCTTTTCTGTGCTAGTTTTTATTGCACTATTAAATCTGCATACTGCGTTTGTTGATGCTATTGTTAGTTTCTGTCTGAAATTATAAAACCCTGCGAAAAGGTATAAAAACAGACAATGTTGTCCGAAAACCATAGTTTTGAAAACGCACAACTAATCCAAAAAATCATTAATTTTAGTTCGGAAAGCTGTTCTATGCTAATTTTTAATACATTAACAAATCTGCATACTCAGTTTTTTAATTTAAGAAATTGAATTTTTTGTCAAGTTTTGGCAAATTTAATGATGTAACCCCTTATAAAATTTTCACTTTTCGGAAAAATTTCAAAAATTTATTTTTCGACCGGACATGGTTAGATCGACTCAGCTTTTGATGCTGATCAAGAATATATATGGTTTGTAGGGTCGGAAACGATTCCTTCACAGCGTTACAAGCTTCTGACTTCAAGTAAACCCAGCAAAAAGGTATAAAAACAGACAATTTTTGTGAAAATTCAAAGATTTTCGGACATCATAATTAGGCCGAAATTTCCTTTATTTTAATTCGGAAAGCGTTTCTGTGCTAGTTTTTATTGCACTATTAAATCTGCATACTGCGTTTGTTGATGCTATTGTTAGTTTCTGTCTGAAATTATAAAACCCTGCGAAAAGGTATAAAAACAGACAATGTTGTCCGAAAACCATAGTTTTGAAAACGCACAACTAATCCAAAAATCATTAATTTTAATTCGGAAAGCTGTTCTATGCTAATTTTTAATACATTAACAAATCTGCATACTCAGTTTTTTAATTTAAGAAATTGAATTTTTTGTCAAGTTTTGGCAAATTTAATGATGTAACCCCTTATAAAATTTTCACTTTTCGGAAAAATTTCAAAAATTTATTTTTCGACCGGACATGGTTAGATCGACTCAGCTTTTGATGCTGATCAAGAATATATATGGTTTGTAGGGTCGGAAACAATTCCTTCACAGCGTTTCAAGCTTCTGACTTAAAGTATACTCAGCAAAAAGGTATAAAAACAGATCATTTTTGTGAAAAATCAAAGATTTTCGAACATCATAATTAGGCCGAAATTTAATTTATTTTAATTTGAAAAGCTTTTCTGTGCTAGTTTTTATTGCACTATTAAATCTGCATACTGCGTTTGTTGATGCTATTGTTAGTTTCTGTCTGAAATTATAAAACCCTGCGAAAAGGTATAAAAACAGACAATGTTGTCCGAAAACCATAGTTTTGAAAACGCACAACTAATCCAAAAAATCATTAATTTTAATTCGGAAAGCTGTTCTATTCTAATTTTTAATACATTAACAAATCTGCATACTCAGTTTTTTAATTTAAGAAATTGAATTTTTTGTCAAGTTTTGGCAAATTTAATGATGTAACCCCTTATAAAATTTTCACTTTTCGGAAAAATTTCAAAAATTTATTTTTCGACCGGACATGGTTAGATCGACTCAGCTTTTGATGCTGATCAAGAATATATATGGTTTGTAGGGTCGGAAACGATTCCTTCACTGTGTTTTAGACTTGTGAGTAAAATTAAATTAAGCTATCTCCTGTAAAGCTGGGTATCAAAATCTTCGTCATAATAACAGCTTAAATCAACAAACTTTGCTGTCTCAAATTTATCTTTCTGTAAATCTGTTTGCTTAAGCTAATTGGTGGACTCTCTCCTGACCCCAAAAACCAAATCAAATAAACACTGTATGCTAATTTTATTTGTTTCTTTGCAGGCCCCAAAATGAATCTCCTTTCCCTGAGCATACTGATGATCTGCCTAGCCGCGGGCCTGGCTAATGGTGAGTTTAAGGAAATTTCCTTCAGTTTACAATTTTTTGAAACGCTTCTTCCCCAAAAAATCAGGAGAGACAAATCTACCGCCCGTGTTTACCCAAACCCTGAATAATATCATCCTGTATGAAAACGTGACGGTGGGCACTGTGGTTTTCCGGCTAGAAGCCTACGATCCAGAGGGTAGTCCTGTGACCTATGGTGCCATTGGTGCCGATCATTTTAGCGTTGATCCAGTGTCTGGAAATATTACCTTGATTAAGCCACTGGATCGTGAGGAGAAAGACAGTCTTAAGTTTCTGGTTTCGATCAGAGATCGTGTGGATCCCGAGGGAGAGTCGGAGCGGGATAATGTGGTGGAAGTACCAATAACATTCATCATACTCGATCTGAACGACAATCCTCCAGAGTTTCAGAATGTGAGTAGCTAAAAGCATCTTTACACTATTCTTGATAAACAAATTTTCTTGTAATATCCTGCACTAGACTCCCTATGAGGCAGATGTTAATGAGGATGCCAAGGTGGGCACCACCATCTTTGATAAGATTCTTGTCAAAGATCGAGATATAGTTGGCGAGAGTCTTGATCTGAAGTGCTTGCCCCAGCAGCAAAGTCCTGAGGCCTGCAGAAAGTGAGCTTTGCCCTTAAACATGTCTTAAAGAGTAAATAATTATTCAAGATTACTCCACAGATTTCGATTGCATGTGATAAAGCGAGAGGCCACTGTTTTGGAAGCTGCTGTGGTGCTGAACGATACCCTCAACTATAACCAGAGGATGGTTTACCATTTCCAGATCGAAGCCACCGATGGACCGCATAAAACTCAGACCACCTTCGAAGCCAGGGTGAAGGATGTCCAGGATAAGCCTCCAGTATTCCAGGGATCCTTATCCACAGTGATTGATGAGGATAGTCCCATTAATACTTTGGTACTTACAGTACATGCCAGGGATGGTGATACGGGCGAGCCAAGAAAGATTGTCTATGATCTGCTGACAAGTAAGTCTATTCTATAACAATTCTTTAGAATATCTATAAAGTTGTAGTCCCAGCTTTTATTTTGGATTTTTAATAATCATTAAACATAATATTTTTACTTCTTTCTTAAACGTTTTTAAAACTATCTTTTCTCTCTTATTTCATAGATCCCAATGACTACTTTCTGTTGGATTCTCAGTCCGGTGAACTGCGTACCGCCAAACCGCTGGATCGCGAAGCTCTCGAGGATTCCACGGGCATCATCTCACTGGAGATTCGAGCCCGCGAGCTGGTTAATGGAGTGCCCAGCGATGACTCTCTGACGAGTGCCACGGCCAAGGCAACGGTGACCATACGAGATGTAAACGATTCCCCACCAGTGTTCAATCGCAAGGAGTATTCCGTGTCCCTGCTGGAGAACACACCGCCTGGAACACCACTTGCCCTGGACATGAGCGTCAGTGATGCCGATGTGGGCATGAACTCAAAGTTTGCCCTGCGCCTGGACGATGTTTCTGGGGTATTCGATGTGGAGCCCAAACTGGTTACCGGCTACTCGCAGGTGAACATTCGTGTGGCCAACGGTACTCTGGACTATGAGAATCCCAATCAGCGTAAATTCATAGTGCTGGTGGTGGCCGAGGAGACGGACACGAATCCAAAGTTATCTTCAACGGCCACGATTACGGTGAGTGTGCTGGATGCCAATGACAACAAACCCGTTTTCGAGCAGGAGAGCTATTCAGCCTCCGTCTCCGAGGCGGCGCTTCCGGGTCAGTATATAGCCACCATTACGGCTCGGGATGTGGACTCTGGCAGCTACGGGGACTCTGGCATTCGGTACAGCCTTTCTGGCACCGGGGCGGAACTTTTCCATGTCAACGAGCAGACAGGTGTCATTAGCTTGGCCAATTGTCATGGCGAGGGCGAGAGCAACAGGCGCGAGAGACGTGATCTGCACGAGGATGAGAATGAGGATGAGGAGGCAGAGAGTCACCTGGAAATGCTTTCCATGGAGGCGGCCGTGCCCAGAGAGATTGGCACCGAGCCGACCGTCCAGTACACATTAGTCACCCAGGCGCCAGAGGAGCGAGCACCGGCAGCTTCAGTTTCATCTCCAGTTGCATTTCCACCTGGAGTTCCCGCAGCGACTGCTAATGACGACAAGGCACCGCAGACGTGTCTGGACTACGAATCGGAGACCACGTACTTCTTGTCATACAAGGTGAGTGACTGTCTCAATCTTCGTGGGCGGCTTGTGGGAATGATTTCATATGCGTAACCCGGTGGGGGGGAGGGAGTTCGTGTGGGAAAACTGCTTATGCGGCAGAACCTTGGTAAACACGTGGCTAACACAAACAAAAAGAACTTGAAAACATTAAAATTCAAGGCTTCTAAGGCATCTCAGCCTTTTTAAAATATTAACACATTAAAGTTTATTTAAGGAACAATTCCTGCTGGAAAACAAATATAGAATACCTAAGAATAATTAATACAAATCTTTTCCCAACAGGCCACCGATGACAATGGACGTGGCTCGGCATCTGTGGTCTCCCTTCGGATCTCTGTGCTGGATGCCAATGATTCGCCGCCTGTTTGCGAGAGTCCTTTGTACCGGGCGAGTGTGGACGAGGGTGCTGTGGTCTTTGATTCACCGCTGATTGTCAAGGCCCGCGATGCGGACACCATGTCCAGCATTAGCTACAGAATTCGAGGCTCCGAACAGGTGGAGGGCATCTTCGACATCGATCGGGAGAGTGGACAGATTACCATCCGTCCCAATGCTAGCCTGGATGTGACCAATCTGAAGAGCGATCAGCTCATCTTCACAGTGGAGGCCAATGATGGACTCTTTACGGCCAGTTGCGGGGTGAATATCACAGTGCGAGATGTGAACAACCATGTGCCCAGCTTTGAGCAGCAGAGCTACAGTGCTGTTGTGGAGGAGAACTCGGAGATTGGCACGAGTGTGGAAAGGGTTCATGCCAGCGATCTGGACACTGGGAAGAATGCCGAACTCCGCTATCGGATTCAGCAGGGCAGCTTTGATGACTTTGGCATTGACGAGCGCACCGGCGAGGTGTTTGTCTCCCGGAAACTGGACTTTGATCGACGCAACACCTATCAGCTGCAGGTTCAGGCCTCCGATTTGGGTACTCCCAGTCTCACAGGCACCGCTACGCTGACCATCAATGTACAAAACAGCAACGATAAGGATCCCTACTTTGTGCCAGCCACTCAGCATGCCGAGGTGCGAGCAGATGCTCCACCTGGCCAACTGGTTTATAACTTAATCGCCTTGGATCCGGATGTGGCCAGCCACAATGCCCTGGAGTTTGCAGCCACCGATGATATCACAGCCATCGATAAGGAGGGCAAGGAGCTGCCGCACAATGATCAGTTCAAGGAGTACTTTGCTATATCAAGGAACGGCAAGGTGACAGTCAACAAGCACTTGGATCGCAATCTGTTTGCCGTGATGAGAATCAATGTCCTGGTCACGGACAGCACAGCTCCCAATGTCCAGCAGGTTGGAAAATTTACCTTCTAGCTCACATTTGGAAGAAATCTAAATAAAATATTTCAATTTTCAGGGACGCGGTCTGCTGATTATTCAGATAATCGATGTCAACAAGATACCACCAGTAAGTCAATTGAGATATACCTTAACCATAACTCAACTATATAAAATAAGTTATGTTAACTAAAGCCTAAACTGTATATATTTAAAACAAGTTATGATTTGCTAGTACAACTTCATCCACGCTGTCCGGTTCCAAGCTGTTAGATTCCTCATTGAAGGAGACAAAACTGGCCAAACGGTTGTGCTGATCCGAGTAGATGTTCCTATGAGAAAAGAAACTAATGTCAAGCTTTTCCCAAGAAGAAATTCTTCCTGATTTAACATACAAAACGGCGATACTGCAGGCAATTTTTAATAACATTTTGGATAGAAAGATGACAAAAACGGCGGTACTCTCAGGATATAGATAGCACAAGCTGCAATAGGCCAGGATAATTTCGTAAAGATTTAGTATGACATTGTCTATGGCCTGCACAATAATGGTAGGCATAAGCAGCTCGGCCTGAGAGTTGGTCAGAATCGGATAACTAAAGAGGAACCAAGTTTATACCATATAACTCTGAGGTTGAGCGAATCACTTACATGGCCACAACTCTGGAAGCGACGCCGACAAAGCACAGGAGGAAGCGCACCACGATAAGGCCACCGATGAGAAATATAAATATCTCCTTGATCCATAACTCCTGCGTGGAGCTATCCACCTGAACCTTGACGCTCTTTAGATCAGCATAAAGATGATAGACATTCAAGTTGGCTGCACTGAAGAGTATGAAAAATACATTCATGAAGAGGACCTTCAGCTTAGAGTTGGGCAGCATTCCTCCAGCATTTTCCTGCGACTAAAAAAAAAATAGATAATATTTCCACTTAAAATTTAAGAAAATTGACTTTTGACTTTGTTTTCAAAGGCCAATCTAATTGAAAACCACTTTCTTCTTCAGCGTTTCAATGCCCCCTGGAGTGTGGAACAGCCGCAGATAAAGCTGCAAATGGTGGAGGAGCAACCGGTGGGCACAGTACTGACCACACTGCAGGCCACTGATGAAGATTCCAGCATTGGAGAATTCAACATCAGTCCGAATGATTACTTTGCCATCAACCAGACCACCGGAGTGATCTACACCATTGCTCGGCTTGACTACGAGGCCGTCAAGGAGGTCAAGTTCCTGGCCACGGTCAGTGATACGGGTGTGCCCGCCCTGACAGCCACCGCGGATGTGGTGGTGGACATCATAAACCTAAACGACAACGAGCCAAAGTTCACCCAGTCGGATTACTATTTCAATATTACGGAGAACTCACCGCGAGGCACTGTCGCTGGCAAAGTGGAGGCCACGGATGGTGATGTTGGCGTCTTTGGAGAGATCACTTACACCTTGATCGGGGAGAATAACAAGTACTTTAGCATCGATGCCTATACGGGCAATGTGATGGTGGCCAATGCCTCTATACTCGATCGTGAGCAGATCAAGGAGCTAACTCTGTCGGTTGTAGCCCAAGACAAAGCTCCTGCAACTGTCCAGAAATCTGCCACAGCAACGGTGAGTTCTCTGATTGTTTAATATTTATGATAAATCATTAACTTTCCTCCTTTCATAGATCCACATCAATATCCTCGATGTCAATGATAATGCTCCTGTTTTCACGCGAGATGTTTACAATTCCACCGTGGCGGAGAATGCCGCTTATCAGCCACCGGCAGCTCTGCTTCAAGTGCATGCCATCGATCAGGATGAGGGTCTATATGGCGATGTTCGTTACATTATCACCGGTGGCAATGAATTGGCTCTGTTTAAGCTTGACGCCCAGTCTGGCATTGTGTATCCAGCTCAGAGTTTGACCGGAAAGCATGGTGTTTACGATCTGACAATCTCGGCACGTGACACCCAGGGATCGGGTACCATGGAAAGCACCGCCAGAGCCATCATCACGGTGCTAAAGGTGAATCGTCACAAGCCGGAGTTTATCATACCCGCTCTGTCCAATGCCACCATTGAGATACCCGGTGATATTGTCCAGCCGGACTACCTTCTGCTCACTGTTAAGGCTATGGATAATGATACGGAGGAGAATGGAAAGATAAGCTATCACCTGCAGGTGAACAACAGAAATGAGCAGCAGACGGCTGAGTTCAAGATCGATGAGTTGACGGGAGAATTGCGCGCTAAAACTCTGCTAAATCGCAAGAATCGAGCCAAGTAAGGGTAGTCACTATGTCTTTAAGAATCTTATATTAATCTTTTAATTCTCTTAATAGCTACGATATCATTCTGGTTGCCCGGGACGCTGGAAATCCGCCATTTGAATCACTGCGCCTGCTCACTGTCAGTATTGTTGATGCCAACGAGAATCGTCCAGAATTCCCAGATGCTTCGAATCCCTACAAGGTATCCATAAATGAGAACAGCGGCCGGGATGTAAAGATCGGGCATATTCAGGCTGCCTCGAGGAGTAAGCACAATCGCGATATCTTCTATTACATGCTCTTGGGCAACGAGGACGGTGCCTTCTATGTGGACAAACTAACTGGTGACATATACACAAACAAGAGTCTTGATCGCGAACAGACAGACGTCTACACGCTGTACATCCTGGCCAGCATCAAGGCGGATCTGCACATTTCCGAGGAGGAACGAGCCTCGTTCTCCATCAAAACCTTAAATCGGGACAATACGGTGGCAAAGGTAGCCATCACAGTTTTGGATGTAAACGATAATCCACCCGTCTTTGAAAAGCCCATTTATTATGCTGGAGTTAATGCCAACGCGAAGATGGGTGCGGCCATTGCTCTGGTGAATGCCACGGATGCGGATCAGGGCAAGAACGCCAAGATTGAGTTTATGATCGTTGCCTCAAACTTGTATAAGTTTGGAGCTAGCAAGGCCACCGGTTCGATTGTTCCAAGTCCGTTTGCCATCTCGCAGGAGGGTCGCATCACGGCCAACACCATCATGGCCGAGTATAATCAGGATCGTTTCGAACTGGAAATTGTGGCTCGAGAACTGGAGCAGCCCCAGCGATCGGCCAGCACCAAAGTCAATGTAAGTTTCAGGAAAGTTATAAAGTCTCAAAGCTAATTGTACTTGAAATCCATCTAGATCTGGGTATTTGATGGCACTCAGCTGGTGCGTGTGATCCTCTCCCGACCACCGGAGGAGGTTTACCAGGAGCAGGAGGAGATTATAGCCGAGCTGCGTAATGCCACCCAGCATCGCATTATTGTGGATGAGATACGTTTCCATTTGGATTCCATTGGACGCATCCGTATGGACTGGTGTGACCTGTATTTCCATGCCGTTGATCCCCAGACCCAGCAAATAGCACCTGTTGATGAGATACTCAAGGATATCGATAGGAACTATGATTATCTGAAGGTGAATACTTGATACACAAGTTTAAGGTTTAGTTTAAGTAATAATTTAAATGGTTTTCAGGATTACTATGCCGGCTTTGCCATAGAGAATGTGGTGCCTGCCTACATAGCCATTGTTCAGGACGAGTTCGATTTGGCTGTGGCAGGACTGGTGGCCCTGGTCATTGTCCTGTTTGTGGGCGTTATAAGCTTCATTGTGTTGTGTTGCTGCCTGAAGCACTGGAATCTGTCGGTGCCCGTGGAGACACGTCGCAAAGAGGCCCTGATCAAGAAACAGATTATAGAGGACCTAAACACCACCGAGAATCCTCTGTGGATTGAACAGTAAGCAAAGTTGTGTAAGTTTTTTGGCATAGTAATAAATTTTGAACTTTTCTTTCTCCAAAAGAAAACTTAAGCTGTACGAGGAGCAGGAGTTGACCATGCAGGTCTTCTCAGAGCCCGATCATATATCCAACTCGGAGACGCCGGGCCACCTCGACCACCATCGCAGCTCACTGGAGCAGGTCCATCACGTGGGCCAGTCGGTGGATAACACCTATGCCACCATCCAGCCGCGTAATAACCAGAATCGCCTGACTGGAGGCGGCGGTGGTGGTGCTGGAGGTGGTTCAATGCGCAGCGGCGGCGGCGTCAGTGCCGGTGGTGTGGGTGGTGCCGGTCTGCTGCTGGCACGCGTTGATCCGCATCACATGAACGAGTTTGCGGACTATGCCACGCTGCGCAACAATCGAGCGCCATCGGTGAGAGACCAGAACTGCAACTGCAATGATCAAGAATCGGTATAATGACAGACTTCCCTTTACAGCTGTACGAGTTCACGGGATCGACCTTCCAGGCTCCCATTCGGGATGGCGATGATGCCGTGGCCGAGCTGATCTAAGTCTCGATCCCCGAAAGGATATGTAAATTATGTGTAGTAGACAAGCCCTTGCCGTGGTCCGTTCTGTTGCATCTTTGAGTTCGCCGTTAATCATATTATATAGACACCGTACATAACACTTATATATATCGAGAGCGTATATACATACATATAATAGCGTAGTTGTATCTGGTAAGCCAGCGTTTATCTAGAACTCAGAAGTAACCAGGATAGAGGGACAGCAACAGAACTACAACAACAAGAACCCATAGAGGAAATTCTCCCGCATAAATAATGACAATAATATATATGTACTATTATATATTGACAATGTCTCTAGCCGTAATGAATCGATATTGAATATGTAAGAGTTACTAATCAGAATCAGCATCAGCATCTGCATCCATACACGTTTAGTTCCCTCGAATAATTCCGCGATATTAGCTCGTTAAGTTGTACCCACTCTGAAAAGACTAAATTATTTGCTCTTCCAATTCTGTATTACGTTTAGTTAACATTTAGTTTCTTAGATTCTAGTTTTAATTAGCCAAACTTGCTCATAACTGATAAGTTCATGTATATTTTAAGTTGGCGAGAATTGGAAATGTGCAACGAACTAAGTTACAATTTATTGACCCCTGTTCGAATAACCTCACGGACAGAGAGCCAGAAACTCATTTATGATTGCATTTACATTAAATATACTATACGAATAATTAAAGCCGAGTTTATAGTAAATTACTAGCGGAAAACTTGATAACAACTTGTGGATATTTGGTAGTCAGTGTGGCACATCTATAAACAACAAACGAAAACCGTTGCCCAGCTCCGGATACGGAAGGTTGCTAGCCGGCGCAGGGTGAATAACAAAGTCCCACCCTCAGAAGAGAGTTTTCCGAGCACAGGCATTTCCTTCGATATTTCAATCAAAAAAATCGTTGAACAAAGTCTGTCGAACTTCCCAAGCACACACGATTTTAGATCATCTTTATTTTCATAGTACTTGAGTTAAATTGAATAAATTAGAAGAGAATCCGCCGAAATGGAGGAGCTACAAATAACCAGTGTGGGCCAGTTCCAGACCCTGGTGCGCTACAACAATCCGGTGCTGGTGGTCAAGCATCCGGACAAGAAGGGCGCTCCGTTGACGGAGATTGAGATGAAAAGACCCCAAACTGCGGGCGCTTTGCTAGATACCAAACGGGAGACCGAGGAGATCCTCAATTCTATTTTGCCGCCGCGCTGCTGGGAGGAAGAAGGCCAACTGTGGCAACAGTCTGTGTCCAGCACTCCGGCCACGCGTCAGGATGTAATCAATCTACAGGAGATGCTGGACACCAGGTTGCAGCAGACTCAGGCACGCGAGACGGGCATCTGTCCTGTGCGTCGTGAGCTATATTCGCAGTGTTTTGGTAAGATATTCCTGTTCAGCACCTTTCCCAGATACCACTAACCCTCCCCCACCTGGACCTGCAGATGAAATCATCCGTCAGGTGACCATAAACTGCTCGGAACGCGGCCTCTTGCTGCTGCGCATCCGTGACGAAATAGCCATGTCCATGGAGGCCTACGAAACGCTCTACTGCAGCTCCGTGGCCTTTGGAATGCGTAAGGCTTTGCAGGCCCACGAGGAGAAAGAAATGCTCCGGGATCGGGTCAAGACACTCGAACTGGATAAGGAAGCGCTGGAAGAAATCATTGCCGACATGAAGCTAAAGCAGGAACAGGCCGAGCGCCGCAATGCCGAGTTGCGCGCCTCCGAGGAGAAAAAGTTCACCGAAGAGATCACGTTCCTGAAGAAGACCAACGCCCAGCTGAAGGCACAGCTGGAGGGCATCACCGCACCCAAGAAGTAGGGACACGATTTGTAGAGTTTGGTGGTATATGCGTTGGCATTTGTCACTTTAAGATTGTTGGAACTTATTAAAATTAAAATATTGGAGCAACTAAACTAGGTTTCCCCATTTGGGGTGGGTTCCTCTGCGGGTTTTTCAGTTACATCTTCGGCAACTTGTTCCCGTTGGCCCATATCTTCGTCGTCCACGCAAATCTCGTTGAGAATGGGCGTTGGCTTGAATGCTTCCACGGTCTTTTTCTTTGACACTTGCTGCTCCGTGGCTGCTCGCTTTTCTGGTGGCTCCTCGGATTCTGCTTCTGCAGCGTCAGCGTTCTCGTCATCTTCCTGGGGCAGTTGGTTTCGCATGGCCAGCAGCTCCTCCTCCGTTGGCAGCGTACCCTTGAGCTCCTCCATTTTGGCCATATATAGTTCGTAAACAAACTGCGCCATTTCGGACATATTCTCCACAGTTCTAATGGCTTCGCTGGCCACCGCAGTGCTGGCCAAACGATCCGTTGGATAGCTATCATCGGGCACCAAGCTAAGCTTCAGCGGTCTCTGCGTGAGCTAAAAGGAAATTGGATTAAATGTTTGTGATATTTTCTAACATCACGTTTGACACTCACCAGCTTGAAAGTCTGTTGAAGTTCCAGGCAATTCTTGAACAGGGAAACCCTGCCAAACACATATAATCCGAGTCGAGCACGACTCATTGCCACCACCAGACGTCGCACATCCCGAAGATGACCCACCGCTTTGGTTCGCACCAGAGAAATGAGAATGTAGTCGTTCTGCTGGCCCTGGTACTTGTCTACGGTGGTGATCTTGTGCGGCCATCCGATCAGCGGATTATTGCCACACCGGGCGTTAATCACATCGCGAATCAGATGCTTCTGTCCGTTGTATGTGGTCAGTATCGAGATCTTCGCGGCGGGATAGCCCTGCAGGCGCATATACGTGTACGTGGCCACAATGTACTCCGCCTCAGCCAGGTTCTGTGAGATTAAACCATGGTAACTGGTCAGATTCTAAAAATGATTTAAAACTCACCTGGTAGAAGTAGGGATTAGGTTCGCTTTCGCCAACACCCTTGAAGTCCTCCACATTGATCAGTTGATAATCGTGGGCAAAGCCCGCATTGGCCTTCTTGTACTCATCCCGTTCTAGTATGTGCTCTAGGTCCTCGAGCTTCTTGTAGCGCCACTTGTACAGCGAACAGATGCTGGCACGGGCACGACCCTGTCCATCCAAGTCTACTGTGGGGACTCCCAGGCGTACCAGGCGCGTAAACAGGCTCTGCTCCATGTTGGAGTACTTTTGGAAGGCCATGTTCTTGATCACAGGCGGCAGCTGGTGATGATCTCCGATCATGATCCAGCGCTTCAGGCGATTCAGGCCGTCCAGCGGATTTTGCAGCAGCAGGGGAATGAACGTCTCAATCTCTAGGATCTGCGCGGACTCCTCCATGAGAATGTTGTCGTATCGGAAGCCGAGATTCACCAACTCCTTGCGTTTGAGCGCAGCGTGTGTACAGGTCATGGCAATGATCTTGGCCTCTTTTACTAATAGGTATTTGGAGCGATCCAATCCCGTTCGCAATAGCTCAAAAGCCCGGAACTCCTCAAGCTCAGTGAAAATGTCCGAGATGTAACGGAAGTTGGAGCTGGCTATATCCATGAGCTCTTCGAAATTGCCGCCCTTAAACAAGGGTTGCGGGGCATCTGCAAAGAATTTTCCGAAAGGAAACTCTTTCTCAAACAGCGATTTCAGCTTCTCAACATCCGTCTCCTCCTTCCGGTGCACACTCATTTGGCTCTGGAACTTCTCCCAACGCGCCATTACGTTGTAAAGGTAAAAGTAGCCAGCCGTCTCACAGGTGTATGCATTATCGCCACTCACACCCAGTGCCTCCTGCAGTCGCTGGACTTGACTGAGTAAATCCATGCGCTTGGCCAGCACATAGTTGACCCTTCCATAGCGACTGTAGTCCTTCTCGGTTTCTAAAGCCTCTTCACCGTGACCAAGACGCAACAGATGCCGCTCATCAATGTCCAGGGCCATGATCTTCTCGAACAGCTGATTCAGAGCCTGATTGGAGTGGGTCACGATCAGGGTGCGTTGGCTGGGATGGTTGTGGTAAATGTTAGAGATGATTTGGACAGCCACATCGGTCTTACCAGTACCGGGAGGACCTACCACCAGGGTCAGACCTGGCTGCATACCCGCTCTTATGGCTTCCACTTGTGTGGGTGTAAAACGTATGGAGTTTCTGAGCGGAAATACATGAGAAAGTAAATCATTTTAGAGGTAAATTAAGATGAGCTCAAGATTACTTACTGCTTGGGCTTGTCGCTAGGATAGGGTCCCCTCGCTTCGTATTTGTAGGGCTGCACCAATATGGATTTGGTCAATGCCTGCTTCTCCACCTTCTCATCCCTTTCCTCGTCATCGCTTTCCTTATGGGTTGGCACATCCTCAAAGATCAGACGGTAGGGCGGCAGGCGCCTTTCCTCTGGCAGCTCACACTTCATGGTGTACGTAGGGAAACTGGCCACCAAATGACTATAGTCCAGGAATGTATCGTTAAATTCCAGGCTGCGCTCTTGGTTTGACATATTCGAATAATGAGCGGCAGCGGGGTCACCGTAGCCGAGAAGGATGTCATGTAACCAGGGTGGCACCACACACTCGGTGTTCATCAAGTGGCGAATGGTCTCCAGCACGGCTTTAAAGTTGTTCTCCTTGGGCTTGCGACGCATCAGTATGTTGAAGCTTTCGTAGACATCGTCGGCACCCTGAAATCGAATGGAATTTCATGAAGATAACCACCTAATCCTTGGTTTAATGAAACTTACCTCTTGCAGATCGTCCATATCCTGGCGATACTGATTCGAGTCCAGCCACACACGATAGCACCGTTGCTCCCCTGGCAGCTGGGGCCTTGGCTCCGGGCCATCCTCAATGACCCGACCGTTGGCATCTAGCATGCCCTCCACTTCGCATCCTCGGACACTTACCAAGCCCACCTGGGGAATGAAGGGCTCTCGGTGGTTGTACTTGGTGCCATACGGTTGCGTTGGCTTCACGGTAATCAGGAAACAGACATCGTGCTTGCGCAGGTTCTCCCACTCTTCCTTGATCTCTCTCCGCACGGAAAGTGTCACTCCCACGTCAGCACGCACTCGTGATGGCTTCTTCTCGCCGAGATGCGGCTTGGCTACCTCCACCACAGCGAAGCTGGCAACGGGCAGGGCCATTCTGGCCCAGCCTCCGAAGACAACATCTCCGTCTTCGGACTGCCAGGGCAGCATTCGGCTCACAGCATCCTCGATGTCCTGACGAATTTCATAGGTCGATTCCAAGCGAAAGAGGTTAAAGTTACGCAGCAGGTAGTCGTGGAGGGTCAGAAACTGCAGATTCAGCTTGGGCAACGCTAGGCAGCTCTCACCAGTGTAGTACTCCGAGGGCACCACGTTCTCGTCCCAGATTATCTGCTCCGTGGGATACAGAGGCATCTCGTTGAGAGCCTCTAGCTGAGAGCAGCGTCGCTCGTGTCGCGTGATCAACAGCTCGCGCAAGAACTGCTCATCCATTCGGTGCCACTCCAAGGACTCCACCATCTCCTCCGGCACAAGGTTCAGGAAAGTGGCGATCTGACGAAGCCCGTCGCCATCCAGGCCACCAAAGTGCTGCTCTAGCGACTCCCGATTGTCCACCGTGGCCACATTGGATAAAGCGAAAACCCGAAGACTGGGAAACTTGGCGAAGACTGCACGCTGCAGGGAGGTAATCTTCTTGTAGTGCAGCTGGGTCATATCATGATCCGTGAGCGAACTGCCGGTAACATCGTTGATCTCGAAGCGGGTATAAAACTTGAGCATGTCAAGTAGCTACAAATTAAGTAGTAGGTTGTGTTACATTTTTAATGTTTTATTCCAAATTGATTAAGATTTTGATTGCAAATCGAAGGACTATTGGCAATCATTGGCTTTTAGGCCTAGTGTACCTCAGCTAAAATCTAAAATATGTGATTCTATCATATATATGCTACTTTTATGGGTAAATTAAAGTTTTACAAATATCATAACTAAACCAAAAATGCATTAATTTCAGTTCTGAGAACTGTTCTATGCTAGTTTTTATAAGGATCAAAAATCTGCATATTCAGTTTTTAAATTAAAAAAAATCCATTTGTTGCCAAAATTTGAAAATTTTATGATGTAACCCCTTATAAAAATTTTCACTTTTCGAAAAAATTTCAAAAATTTATTTTTCGACCGGACATGGCTAGATCGACTGAGCTTTTAATGCTGATCAAGAATATATATAGTTTGTAGGGTCGAAAATGATTCCTTCACAGCGTTACAAGCTTCTGACTTAAAGTAGCAACAAGACCCAGCAACAAGATATAAAAACAGATAATTTTTGTGAAAAATCTAAGTTTTTGGACATCATAATTAGGCCCAAATTTCATTTATTTTAATTCGGAAAGCTTTTCTGTGCTAGCTTTTATTGCACTATTAAATCTACATACTGCGTTTGTTAATGCTGTTGTTAGTTTCTGTTTGAAATTATAAAACCCTGCGAAAAGGTATAAATACAGACAATTTTGTCCGAAAACCATAGTTTTGAAAAGCCACAACTAAGCCAAAAAATCATTCATTTTAATTCGGAAAGCTGTTCTATGCTAATTTTTATTATATTAAGAAATCTGCATACTCAGTTTTTGAATTTAAAAAATTCAATTTTTTGTCAAATTTTGACAATTTTAATGATTAACCCCTTAAAAAATTTTCAATTTTCGAAAAAATTTCAAAAGTTTATTTCTTGATCGGACATGTCTAGATCGATTTGGCTGTTGATGCTGATCAATAATATATTAAATTTATAGGGTCGGAAACGACTCCTTCACCTAGTTTCAAGCTTCTGACTGAAATAATAATACCCTGCAAGGGTATAAAATAATAATGTTTGCTACTAGTCATATAAATTAATTATAATTATATTATTATAAAATAAAAGTACAAATTAATTCTCTAGATCCATGGAGTGCGCATTTTATGGTCTAATTGGGAAATCTCATATAGGCAGATTGTACACAATGTACATATATTCATATGTCATATTATTAGTTGGTGAATAATGCGCTGCAAACTTTTGACTATAATTTAATAATCTGTGTACATTATAGTACATATGTATAGAATTTTGTTTTTCATAGACTATATTATAATTCATCTATGATTTTCCCCCCATCTACACTGATCCGGCCCTGTTTACTTCCTAAAACGCGTGCATTGAATGGAACGTGTTTCGTTGTTTTACTACCTGCCCTCGTGAATTCTACAAACTCACGCAAACATTTACCTGGCTCCTCTCTCTTTCTCTGTGAGACTCTCTTTCTTTGGACTCAAATTCTCTCTTAGGTGCACTCCTATCCAAATTCAAGCCGGTTGGTTGCCCCAAAAGGTTGGTACGTCATCAGTTTGGGCACGACCACTCACACCAGACTGCTATTAGAGTAGTATGAGTGAGAGCGAGTGCTAATTAGGTGAGCCAGGTGAGCCGGGAGCGGATGTCCTGGTGGCAGTAAATTCGAAACTGAAAAGGAAACCCAATACAGGCGAGGTGTGTGTTCGATACAAATCTCGGTGGTGAAGGTTAGCTGAAGGGTGTTTCTTGCAGAGAAATCTTCATTAAAGCCACCTCCATCCAGTCTTCTCCTTTTACTTCTGGAGTGCATGTAAGCGGAGGTGTGAGAGGACAAGTGTGATGACAGGGCACGCGTCAAGAGGAGCTGAGGGCTGTCCCGCTTTTATACACAACACACACACACACACAGCTGCCTCTTATCATCGCTGCATCATCTAGCACATCCTGGCGATGGAGAGAGATAGCGGAGGGGAGCAAACAAAGCACAGACACAGGCAACGGCACACATTGCCGGCTCCTCTTGCCTGGCTATGTACTTGCTCCAATTGATAATTTCCGTTGCTTAATTTAAATCCAAAGAGCGCGGAGAGACAGAGCGGTGGTGCTGCTCCGGCTGCATTCAAAAGCCCTGCTTCAACATTGTTGTCTACCGGAATGGCTAGGAGGCAGGGAGGGAGAGAGCACTGGTGGGGGTTGAGCTGAGCGACGCTCATGGAACACTCCACGCCATGCTCTCTCCGCCTTAGTGACTAGAAGTTAAGAGCGAGCCCAGAGAGTCATTCGCTTTCCAGCGTTGCTTCGAATCGGTCGCTGTATCTTCTTCCAGTTTTCACTAACTTTTCGATTTGAATACAAATATTATTTGAGGAAGTGAGGCCGGCCATTGTTTATAAACTGAATCGGAATCTTAATCTCAATTTGTATCTGAATCTTAATCTAACAGATCCGCATGCCTTTTCTGTGTGTGTTTGTTTTAGATATAGTGAAAAGTGTCACCTCAAGTTACTGTATGCATGTCATGATCTTGGCTTAAAGCCGGCACCTTGATGACGCATTCCTTAGCCAGCAAAGATCCAACACATAAACAGCAGCAGCAGCAACAACAACAGCCGTCGCTTACCTGTATTTGTATCTGTATCTGCTTGAGTATCTGTGTTTTTGTGTGAGCAAAAGATGCTCGTGAAAACGCTTGGCGCGCATTTTTTAGCAACTAAATGCAGCTGCTTCTCCGCTCTGCTGATTCCCCTGCTCCCGCTCCTGTTGCTGCTCCTCGCTCACCCATTACGGGTAACGGGTCATGTCAGTACCAGTGCAGTATCTCCAGGAACTGGAGCCGATCCCCACCTGGTGCTGGTCAACAAATGCTGCGAGAAGTTCGAGATACACGTGGACAGCGAGTGCCAGTACGTCAACGAGACGGGTGAGTGCCCAACAGCTGGTCTCTGACCCATGCCCACTCCTTCTTCGCCAGAAAAGTAGCCATAACAACGACACTGCCGACAGCGGAGTTTGTTGGCCATTCAACTTTATGGATTTTCCCTGTTGGCATGCAACATACATACCAGCAAATGTGTGTGTGTGTGTTGTAACATTAAGTGGCCCATTTGTTGGCTATCAGTGGATCAGTGGAACGCAGCCAGTAGCTCCCCCAACAAGTTCCTAAAACAAACAGAGTCTCGTGGTGCCCCCAATCCTGATGAGAAAAATTATGATTTATGCTCTGAGGCTTGCCTCGGCTTCTGTTTTAAGTAACCACTCGTCGGAGGGGGATTCCCCTAATCGAGAGAATCTTTTCTTATGGCAATGGAATGAGCCAGAAAATCCATTAGCAAGTGAATAGATATAGATGCTACTATTATCACGGTAGCTTTGAATAGTAAAACATGTCCGTGAATAATATTCCATTGTCATAAAGAACAAAATTTTTATATTTTTCTACTATTTCCCAATAGGAAATATATTAGCTGAAACCTGAAACACCAAACATAATCTATTATAACGCTCACAATAAAATAACTGAATAGAATTTGTTTCTCTGCTGAGTAATTTGTAATATAAAAATACCAACAGAATAATGTTTCCAAACCCCTTTAAAGTATAAACAATAAACTGAAACAAAAGGCTCTACAGCCTCTAAAGCAAAATAAATGCAATGCGAGCAATAAGAACCTTGAAACTGTCATTAAAGTGACACATAAAATAAGTACAATACAATTCATAGTTGATACAATAGTTGAATCATTGCCCTGATCATCCGATTGCCATCGAACTGATCTCATCAAATTTATAACTGAAAGGATTACTCAAATCCATTCTAAGCCCGTGTAATCAACACATGAAATCTAATTTCCCTGCTCTCAACTATGATTAGCATATCAAAGGCACGAATGGAACAAAAGTGCATCCCATCTGCAGCAATTCGAGGAGAACAAATCCGCACAAATTGCAAAAAACCTGGCAAGAAACAGCTGATGAAGATGCATTGCATTGCTGTGCTCACGTTCTTCGCCATGGAGCGTAAATATTTATACCGGAGAACGGGGAGGCGGAGGTCTCTTCTGGTCCCCTCCGATCCAAAAACGGAAATCAAACAAAGGCGGCAAGAACTTGAAGTCTCTTAATGATTCTCCACGGTCTGCTCCGTTTTGTTCTGTATATAATAAATACAAATATATATATCATGGCTTTCCATTTGCAGACTATTTCCAGCCGATGTTCACCAGCTATGGTGGAGAGCAGAACAGGCACGTCAGCTTCAAGTTCGTCATTGGCATTCCCAACTGTGGATCAATGCAGATGTGGCCCATATACCATTACATGGGGGTAAGTGATAATAGTATAACAGCATCTGCAAAAACAGATTCACATACTTTTCAAACACTTAGAGCTCCGATAAGTTGGTTTTACTGGAGGATGGCAAGCTAAGGCATTACACCAATGCCGAAGATGAGGCCGAGGAACGTCATGGAATACAATCGGATTACGAGGAGGACATTGCTGGCGCTCTGGAACCCCGTTATCACGACTACGATCATGGATTGTACTGCATCGATAAGGTAGGCATTGCAATAGTTCCAAAGTTATTATTTAAATTATCATCTAATTTATCTTTAGGGCACCTCCAGTACTGGCGAAAAAGACGTACTCTTTGCCAAGATCTGTCTGGCCCGCAAGGAGATCAAGTGGAGTGATTCAAACTTTCTCCTACGCAAGATCCTCAATCCCATCTTTCATGGAATCTCACTCATTATATTGCTGATCATTGCCATTATCTACTTTATACTTCCGACGCTCAGGTGAGAAATTGTGATAAATTAGACTCTCCTCATGCGTTAATTCGACATCCATTCAGCAGAGATCTGGTGGGCAACATTGTGACGACGATAGCCATGTGTCTGATGGTCAGCCAGGCGGCGGATCTAGTCCGTATTTTTACCGAGCTAACAAGCCACGTAAGCTTCATTGTGGCGGACATAATCCTGTGCTTCAGTCTGCTGGCGGCCTTCTTTTGGCTCAACAGCTTCGGCTACTACATCTGGAAGACCTTCCGATCAAGGAACGTTTTCCTTCGAGTGACAGACGGCAGGAAGTATTGCTATTACTCGGCCTACGCCTGGGGATGTACGGCTACGATGGCAGGTCTAGCAGTCTTTGCGCACTTTTTCCTGGACGCCGAGTCGTACAAAAAGGAGCGGATGGTTGGCGAGCAAGAGACGATCGGCATGCTGGGCATCTGCATATTCTTTGCCCCCATTGCGTGCACTATTTTGGTGAACATATTCTTCTTTATGACCACCAGGAATCTGATTAACAGAAGGACTGTATACGGTCGCATTGCCCACAAGCTGAAAGCGAAGTGAGTAACTTTGCAAGCGCATTCCTGTTGATTATCCTAATACCCCTTTTCAATTACAGCTTCATCATGTTCTCTCTGATGTTTTTGGTTATGTCAATCGCTTGGCTGTTTCTAATCATGTCCTGGCTGCAGTTGGAGGGTCTATTATATGCCCACATCGTGGTCAATGCCCTGCAGACACCGCTGCTACTATACATCTGCGTGCTGCGCCAACGACACGTGACTTTTTTGCTAAAGAAGTCCTGCTGCTACAATGAGCCGCCTTCAACGAATGACTGGGGGGACGAGATGCACTACATGAACGGCAACGACTATTAAGGCGAGTCGCCGCCAATGTCCACCGTCCACACTAATCTAAGTGTTTTGTAGTTTAGCAATGTTCAACATTGAGATTTGTACTTAAATTTAACTAATTTATGCTCTACCAGATAGTAATTAAAACATTAAAAGTCTGACACTTACCTGGCCAAACAGTTTTCCTTCTTCGCGGCGAACTAGGGGCGACAACAAAGCCCGTACAATGAGGTGACAGTCGTCCAGAACGGTGTTAAAGAAGCGCCGTGTCGGTAGAAGTGCTTCCAGATCGATGATGAACTCCAGGAAGCGTTCGCAGTAGTGAACCACGTTAGGGTTGATATCACCCTCGGCGGGTATGCTCTCAACGATTTGCAAAAAGTCGATGATAAGGTTTTGCATAAAGTGTCGTTCCCACTGGACCTCGGGCTTTGTGTCCTTATCCTTCTTTATTAGACGCTTCCAATACTTTCGCCATTCGGGAACCTCTCGAAGCTCCTGCTCGCGGCGTTCTATAGAGTAAAGCAATAACTTTAATCAGGGGTCATCCTTTGGGCTCTTTTAACGAACTTACTTGGCTGCAGGCAGTGCCACATGGATAGGGATACCAGACGCTTGGCCTGCTCTCGGCACAGTTCGATCTCCATGCTGTTAAAACAGTGATTGAGGAACATGAGCAGCGCAGTTCGCTCCCGCAGGGTGCTCCTTGCCTCTCGGGTGGCTTTGCTAGGTAAGCAACTCTCCAGCACGTGGCGGAAGAAGGCCGGATATTGTTCCGGCAGATTTTCAAACACAGTCCATACCTCGACGCGCTCGCGGAACTTCTCATTGGCCATGATCACAATGGACATGAGGTGGGCATGGGTGGCGGTATCTCGCTGGTAGTGCGGCCACAGGTACTGTTCCAGGTACTGGCTGAACTCCAACATGTTGATTCGCCGCGAGCTCTGACTGCCACCGGCGCCGCCACCGATTTCCTCTTTGTAGATGCGTTCGATAATTTCTGCGCTATACGGCCGGTGATCTGCCTTTGTGTCCGGTGCCCAGTACTGCGATGCGAGCTGCCAGAAAAAATAAAATGTTTAAAATACACACAAAGTTGCGTTGTCCATCGGAGCACCCACCTGCCATACGGCATCGGAGCTGAGCTGGGCTACTGTGAGGGCTCCAGCTTTTGATTTCGGCTGTTTAGTTATTTCCTTGGCCTTCTGGGCCTGCGTTTGACTTCTGCGCTTCATGTTTATTCTAATAAATCGCAAATAATTGAAAATAAACACTAAAACTGCAGCAAAACAAAACACCGGTCGCGAAATAGTGTGGCGTATCTCGTGCGGCCAGAAATACCAAGCAGAGGGTCAAATATACTAACATTTAACCGAATATCTTAAAAATACCAAACAATTAATAAATTTATTTAAAATCTGATCATTTTAATTAATTTAAATTTAAAATGTAAGAATTGAATATTGATGTAGAAAATTAAAAAAAATTCCCACGAAAATAGTATTTAATCAAACCACCTGTTGCTTCAAATGGTGTCTTTATGGGAAATGTACATATCAGTTTATTAATTTGCTTACTTATTATATAATTAAAGGATAAAATGTAGTTAAGTAATAATATAAATATCTAATAAATAATAAAATAAAAAATTAGTAGATTCCTCATCGCACGCCGAAGGCAACGCGTTTCCAGCGGCAAGATCGTAAAACCAGGCGGTCACACTGAACCAAACTCAACGCCGGCTGCTTTTGTTTTTAAACGTTTTTAAAAAAAAAGTGAAATTTATAAATAATTTTAAGCGGGAAATACACACACCACCTCACCATGGCACAAGCGACAATACCAGAAAATCTAAATGTAAGCTAAAACCTTCACTAAATCAATTTTTGAATACAACGGAATGCTCCTTTCAGACCCGCCTGCTCACGGTACTCAGTTTGCCGCTGATGGACCGCCTGCACGAACTGACCATTCTGTTCGATCGCTGCTCCGTGCGGCAGATCCAGGAGGTATTCCCGCACATCGTGCACTCCATGTTCGGGATCAATGGCAATCCCCTGGGCTGGGGACTGCGTACAACAACGCAGGAGAACAGTCCCATGTACTTCCAGGCGTTGAATCATTTCTTCGGCGTGTGCGGTCCTTGGATGCACCTCTGCCACCGTCTGCTGGCCGACCAATACAAGTTCGAACTGGACATTAACCTGCTGCCGGTGAGTGAAGGTTATAGGATTGCAAGGATCAACGCTTATTAATCCCATTCCAGGGCAAGTTCGTTGCCATGCTTCAGGCTGGTCAGAACTCCATGTTCTATGCAGATCTAATCAACATTGACCCAATGCGGCATCAGGTGGCCACGCTCTCTCTGAATGCCTTCGATTTCTACGTCATTCACTTTGTGCTGCACGCCCTGCAACCGTTGCACTCCATCAATCCCATTGCCATGCAAATCCACAACGTGCGATGCAAGACGATCTATCTGAAGCTTGTGGCCGAGTATCTTAGCAACTTTCTGCCCCTGGTTCCAGATGCCCGCATCGAGCCCGTGCACTTTAGCACCGGAGTGAAGGCACCACAGCCGCTACCCACTCAGGCCTTGCAGCCCCAGAGGCAGCCACGATACATCAGGATCCCTAGCTCTTATCGTAACGGGGGAAACGTTTCCGGTGGAGGTGTAAGTCCTAATACCAGTGGTGGCAGCGGGAACACCTCGCCCCAGTCCAGCAGTGCTAATGCCTGCTCTGCTCGGGCTTACGCGTGGCGATCCGAGTCCGTGCTACACTTCTTCGTGGATATCTGGCTGCGGTATGATATTGAGTCGGAGCATCACTTGCCTGGCAGCGATTTTGTGCGTGGCGTTCGCACCCTAGTCAAGCAGATCCACTTCTTCGCCAATGGAGCTCAGCTGGATCATAGTTCACTCTGCACGCTGCGCAAAGTGTCGCTTAGTATGGTGAGGGCGAGGATCTTAGCCTTCCTGTGCGGTTTGATCGACCGCTGGCCCCTGGATAGCTCTTTAATGGTGGTGCTGGAGCTCTGGCTAAGCTACATCCAGCCCTGGAGGTACACCATGTCAGCCCTGGACCACAAAATGTAAGCAAATGCTACCCTCATTCAAAAATCTGGAACTCTCATTTTTTCCTTCCACTTTAGAGCGGGTAGCCTTTCGTACAGACCGCCCATTTCCTCCCACTTTGATTCCTTCATTATCGAAAACCTTATCGTGTACACCCACATCTTTGCCGTACTGTTGCCTCACTTTGAGCGTTTGGATTTCACAGTCTATCGTAATGCCTTTATGCTGTACCGCCTGGCGACCATGTTTGCTCAACACGATCTTGTGGAGCGACTACAGCGGTACGAGCGCCAGCATGCCGGCAACGCCTATGGCTTCGACTCACCTCAACGCCAAGTCCACATGTTGAAGTAAGCATAAGGATTGCAGTGTCTTCGAACGTGCCATTAATTTTACTTCCCTTTTAGCAAATCCCACTCACCCGGCGCCCAATGGAATAGCGTGGTCCCTGCCTCCCATACAGCCAAACTGTTTAGTCAGCCCATGCAAATGCAAATACAGAAGTTCCTGTATGAGATTAGTATGGCCCGTAACTCGGTGCTGCGGGAAATTGCTGGGTTGCGAAATGCGATTGCTGAAAGGCAGCGTTCGGATGGATTCCTCAAGAACATTTTCAACAAGCTGTTCCGCGACATCAGCCAGGACGAGGTGACTTTGCGCGAGTTTAGTCGCATTCCGGAGGTGCTGCGCCAGTGCATCGACGCTTTCTGTCGCACGTTTAATGTAAGTTCCATGCTCTTAAAATTAAAATTGGATATTCCTAGATTTAAATCTCTTATCAGGTGGATCAAGCCAACCTTTCTATGCATGAGACCCTGCCAGTGGAGCCATGCCCACCCGCCTCCTCTACGCTGCAAAACTTTAGTTTCTTCGACACCAGCGACTCACTGGACACCTCTAAGCTCAATCCACACCAAATGTCGCTCAATGCCTCCAATATGCAGCCCATTATCGATCCCGCCTTGCTTCCGATCCAAACGAATGAGTTGAGACCTGTGGTGAGGATACTGCACATAATCTCTGACAGCATTAACAAGAGAGTAAGTCTTTCATGGATTTCCCCGGAGCTTCAGCTTACATCCTTTTTTTTGCTTTCAGTACGGCAGACAGATCCAAGCATTCTACTTGCGCAACGATTACTGTGGAAAGGTTGCAAGGCAACTTCTGTACGCACCCATGACGGAGCAGTGGTTCGACAAGAGCACCGGAAACGCGGATATGCGGGAGAAGCTGGTTCCCCCGAGGCTTTGCCTGCGTCCACTGGGCTCGTTTCCTGTTCTTGCGACGATCTTTTGTGCCGTGATCCTTGGCAAGTTGCTTTGGGGCTCCTCAATCACTGGAGTGATGCTTCTCTGCTCAATACTAATGGTCTATGTCTTGTTTCTGGCGCTGTTTTCTTAATTTTCTAGACTTTATAATTTCATCATTGCGTGTAGTTGTGACATTTATATATTTTGTATAAAACTAAAGAAACTACGATTACAATTACGATTAGTGTTATCTGTTACGATTAATTAATGTGTATCACTCGGTTCGCGGCCGGAGGGCCAGTCGCAAGGTTTGATCGGGCACGGTGACCATGCGAAGTACACTGTCGACGGGCTGCTCGTTGAGGCAGCTCATCTCGAACTGGGCAGCGCAGCGGCCCAACAGGGAATGGAGCTGCTTGAGAGCCACCCGGCGACCGATACACGACCGTTGCCCGATGGCGAAGGGCAGGCTGCCATGCGACTGATGCCTCTGCTCCGATTGGCCAATACACCAACGCTCTGGGAGCACCCGCTCAGGCTGGGCGAAGTGTGAGGCATCACGTCCGGCAGTATACAGGGAGAGTAGGACCAAAGTCTAGAAGAGAGACAGGGTAAGAGATGGCAATATGAGATCTCTCGGTAAACCCTATTTTACCCACATCTTTTTTGATAAAGTGACCGCCTAGCTCAGCATCCTGGGGCAGGGTGCGACCGATGAAAGGAGCCACGGGATATAAACGCAGTGACTCCTTGATTAGGCCATGCATTAGCTGTGAGCCATTGGTGGCTCGCTCTCTGGCAAGGCGTCTCTGGAGGAGCGGCTCCCGGGAGAGAGCATACAATGCCCACTGGCTGCTGAAAGCGGTCTGACGGATTGAGAGCTCGGATCAGTTAGTGCAAGGCGAACTTTAGATAATCTACAACCCCTTACCGTGTCTCCTGCTGCAATGACCAGGTCCACGAATATCCGTTTGATCATCTCCCCGGGCACCTCCGCTGCCTGCAAGCGCTGATAGAGTGCTGGCTCCTCGTGCGGCTGCTGATGGTCCAGGTCCAGCACACTGATGCAGTGATCGATGATAGCAGCACCCTCGCGCAGCACCTCCTCCACATTGGCCTCAAAATCGCGCCAGATGCGCAGGCGCAGCATCTGGGCCAGACGAGGCGGGAAGGTCATCAGACGCGAGCTATGCTCAAACACCTTGTGTACAATCTGGGTGAAGTAGTCCAGCGATGACTGGATCTTGGGGCAGGTGAGCACACTGTTGCCGAACATTATGCAGCAAAGCACTGAACAATTAATGGTTTAAGATATGTAAATAGTTATAATAAACATAAGAAAAGGATTGAATAAATATGAAAGTACCCTCAAGCATTGTGTTTAATCTTAAAACCTCCAGGACACTTTTAACCTCTCACCTTCTATGGACCAGCGATAGAGCTGCTGTTCCAGCAGTGGCAGCTCATAGTATCGTTTCTCGCCGTCCGCCTCCGCCGACTTCAATGCTGTCACCTTAATGGTTCGGGCTCGCCACTGCTCCACCATTCGTCTGGTACAGTTCTCAATATGCACGTCCATCCAATTCAAATTGCCGTTGAGCAGCAGGCGATTAAGTATGCGTCTGTTGTGCAGCCACTCGGCGCCCTCCCTGCTCCCCACGGCAAAGAAGAGAAATGAGATCGGTTCCGCGGACTCATTCATTTGCAATTCATCAGCCTCATTTGGCCCACTCCACTTACATGAAGAACAGTCCACGTTGGCAGGCATGCCGTTGGTTGTACAGTGTCCAGGCATCCGGCAGCGGATGCTGCGGATACTGACCCTCGTGGAGAAAGACACCGCGCATCAGATTCGCCGAAGAAACGAACACTGCATCCTGGGTGCCACCCAAGCGCTCCCGAAATATGGGTCCATATTGCCTATGCCGGTCATCGATATATTTGTGGAGTCTTTGATGAGGGAGAGAAACAATTGATATATTTTTTATAGCAGTGATTCATTTAACGGTTTTATGTACATTTTTTAAGACATTTTTAAACTCAAAACCGATATAACAAATAAGGAATTAATATGGATTTGATCTCTGTATTGATCTGATCTCAAAGATATGTTATATAGATCATCAGATCATTCATCAAACTAGCATTTTATTAAAATTTTAAAGCTTACACACTTAAGTTTCAATTTGCACTTTGAATAGATTTAGATTTGTCTTATTTGTATAAATATTACAATTCTCTTTAATGCCAAGCACTTTTCGGTTATTATTTTCACAATTTAATTTATTATATATGAATTTATTATTTATTTAATGATTAGTTTTAATAAATTTCACTTTGATGTTTTTAAATTCACAAATTAAAATCCTTTTTGCGGACACTATAAAATTTAAGTTATAGATTATTTACTGGGTGGCTCCTCCGGCAGCGATTAGATCCAATAGCGTTCCCACCACCGGCAGACCCCGAACTTTTGGTATGGGCAAGTATTTGGCAACCGGCACTAACTCCTCTTCGGAACAGGTCCTGCCCTCGGGGGCGTTGACGCGAAATAGACTCAGACTGAGGATGCGCACCAGGAGCTCGTCTAGCAGGTGACACAGCCAGCGCAACGGTCCCGGTCGCTGTCTCTGCTCTCCCATCGCCCTGGCTCAATGTGACGATCCCAGCGGGGGAGGAACCAGTGCACACCTGCACCTGCTCGGCTCTGCTGCAATGTGCTGCAAGGCTGCAAGGCTGTTGCACGGCACTGCTTTGAAACGCGTCCCGACAAAGGGCCAGGCCGGGGGCAGACTGACTCGATCCGCCGGCCAGAGCGGGCCTTTTAACCCATCGAGAGCCGGAGACCGTCGATCGGGTAACGGCGATCGGTGATCGGCTACCTGCGCTGTCCGCTCACGACCAGTGCGAGCATTTTGTGTGATTGATATATGCGCAAATCCGATCGGCAGTTGGACGCCGCCGGGCGACATTCGCCAGACACGCTGAGTGGACACTAAATCCCAGCTGACCATGCAAATTGTTAGAGAGTGGAGAAGGAGGAGGCGGAGACCGGAGACAGGAGAATAGAGTTCGAGTGAAAAAAACTAAGTTAATTCCCAGCGGTTCTTTCATAATTACGAGCTATATGTGGTAATTGTAACCGGAAGATACCATAATATATTGCTTCGTTATATAATAATAATTATATAATTGTTGAGCAATAATTATTATTTTTTTATAAAGTTTACTTTTAAACACTTAATGTTTATTGGCCATTAGCTAAAACCCTTAACATGTATGATAAATGTTCTATTGACGGTTCGTATTAACTTACTTTAAGTTTCTCACAGAATTTTATTAATATTTTATTCACACGTTTTCTCACCAATTATTTTCTATTTATTTTATTTTCTTAGAATATTATCGTTTATCTTTATAATTTATTTTTCCCATTTTGATTTTATACCCATATATCATATGAGTTTTTCTTTTTTGATGTTTCTGTACTGAAGCCTTGCTTTGTTTTCTTAATATTACCTTTTACAATAATAAATAGAATAATAAATAAATAAATAATAGAAAACAAGAAAAACATTCTTTCGTTTTCCGACATTTTGTCGTTCAGTGTAGTTTTATCCGTTAAAAATGAAATTTTCGAAGTCGACTTCAGCCAGGGGATGTTCGAATTTTCTAAAGCAAACATCAAGAGCCAACCCTGTGAGTGAGAAGAGCACGACCGATGAGTGTCGGTTGGTTTTGTTAAATTCAAATTTATTTTTGCGCGCCTTCATTTATTATTTCAATCAGCTACAGAAAAATGGGAGAGAAATTTACAAAAAGATAATTCCATCCAGCCCGTAAAGAGATTTATCACTTTCAATAATAAAGCTCACACACTTGAAGAGATTTTGAAATGGATTTATAGTAGGTTTTATATCTGATCGTGTAGTACTTAAAAACCCATGTATATTAATTGGATTTTAAAATATATTATTAACATAAAAACTAAAATTAATATTGACTTTTGTTGGTAAGCAAGTATTTATCTTTGGACAATAAAAACCAACCGAAACTGATATATAGTTTCGGTTTTAGAGGCCGCCAATATATCACATTTATATTGTTTTATTTCTATTACAATTCAGTTAAAGTCATCATAAACAATATATATGTATTACAACATAAATCCTCCTCAGTTTATTCCACATCTGGCATCAGTGTATTTTGTTTTTAAGCCTCAATATTATTTCGTGTTACCTGGCTGACACCACAAAACTCGCACTTGCCACCTTTTTAGGTTTATTTTTTCTATATATACACCGACACACAGATTTTGAACAATTCGATGGCTATGGAAGAAGGGATTGTGGGACATTAGTGTCACCATATTTTGCATGTTTCAGTTTAGTTGGCACCAAAAATAAATCAAATACGAAACACACAAAAGCTAGATAAACCCAACGTCAGAAGGTTGACAGTAAAAGCACAAAACAAACAGCAAAGAAGTCGAGGGGCGAAACAAAAGTCCATAAGCAATGGAATTTATTTATTAATAGTTAGTATTTTAATAGTTGGCAATTTAATAGCATGCAGTCGTGACCTGAGACTCAACTCGATACTTCTTGACGAAGGTTGCGAGGGGAATCCCAGGACTTGTCAAGGAAAGCGCTGTCATATTTATGGTATATTAAAGGGACTCCCCTTGGTTGGGGGAGTCGGAAAAGGGTTGAAATAAATAAATATTGTTTTCTGTCTTTGCGGCAGCACACGCGACATGCATAATAATAAAAATAATAATAATACCGGAGGAAAACTGAGAAGGGTTGTTCCTTCGTTCGGTGGAACCGCAATTCATATAAAGATAATATAAAATAACATGGAAAACAACAAATAACAAAATGAACAAGGATCCCCGCCAAGCGCCCCTCTTTAGCTAATGCAATAATAAGAGTGAAGCTCCGAAAGGGCATAAATAAAAATGTATAAAAAGTTGGGGCCGTAGGGCGGGAAACAAAGCTCAAAGCAGCATGACGCCATTTTGAAAGTGACGCCTTCCGCTTTTATTGCCAACTGCAGGGGGGCGGGGGTGAGGGTGTGCTTAAGGGCAGAAGGAAGGAGGTTTCCGCGGGAGACCGGAAGTTGGAAAGGAGCTGTGCAGGATGGGTGAAAGGACGAAGAATGGGGTCGTTGTAGGCTGCCAGTCAGGCGGAGTTCACTTTGAGTAAATGGAAGACTGTCTTCTCCCACTTGGCGGGAAATGGAAAAGCTGAGATGAATGAACCGGCATTTCCCTGCCCATTAATATTGTGTCTGAAGTGTTTGGATGAGTTTAACGAGTGTCAGACGTCAAGTAACTGATTTGATTTGATGTTTGCATTTGCTAAATGGCCTGCAACTAAATTGAAAACAGATTTGCCTGTCTGCTTTAGTTTGCTTAAAGAAAAATAAACTAAAATGAACTGTAAAATATGGATATAAAGGACACTAAATAATAAACTTAAGTCTAAAGTCTGCAACTATAGTGATCATAAGTTCTAGACCTGATTAAATTAAATCCTGATGGAAGATTCTATCCCATTTCTAAATGCAAATAAACTCTAAATCCTGAAAGCTCCTTCAGGCCACAAGGCAAGCACCAGCTGAAGCCAGGACTCAACCGACACTGCTGGTGTATCCTGAGCGGGACGCAAGCGGAAGTCCTTACAGCTTTTGCATATCCTTAAGTGCCACTAAGTGGTGCTATCATTCTTTCATATGTATGTGTATATGTGGGGAATGTGATGCTTATCGCACTCCACCGCAGCATTTGTACACGAACGGAGATAGGGATTGAAATACACTTGGATTTGGGCATACAGATACTCTGTGCATCCTGCATATATCCTGGCTGTGTGCGTGTGTGTGTGTCTGTGCTTTTCAAGTGCACGTGTAGTTGTTGATTCCCCTTCCTTCCTTCCTTCCTTCCGCATCTCTAAAACTCGATTCTCTGCGGTTTTTGTATCGCTGACCATGACAGAATTTCACTCTCTCTACCACTCCTCTATATATGTACATATATTTTTTCTGCACCACTCCAAGGGTCCTCTATGGCCCTCCTTCCCTTTATGCCACCGAAATCTAGCCACCGCTTCACCCCCACGGCTCTGCTACCAAAAAGTGTCCAAAACATAAATGACATTTATATTGGTTATAGTATTAGAAGGAATGCTGGCTGGCTCTGGCTCTGCCCCAGACCCTCACGTATACGTGCCAACATTTTGGGTCATAAAAATGTATACAAAAGCAACAGCAAACAAAGCTCAAGCAGGAACAAACAATTTATAGCACTGGCAGAAAGGAATAGAGGTCAAGCCATGAAATATGAGAAATCGCACGCATCTATGTACATAAAGTGCGTTTCATAATCGGATGACAGTTGAGCAGTGCAATATGAGAGACACCGTATAACATATGGAGCAGCAATATGTTGTTGATATCCCGAAGCATAACTTTATTTATCTGGCTTAAACGTGAGTCCATCAAACGACAGATTACGTCAAAGTTTGACTCAGATACTTAAAGGTTTTGAATAAACAGCTTAGGTTTAAGGCAAAGTACTCTTAGCTTGTCATTTTGTAGAGCAAATCTAAGACAGAAACATAAATATTTTATGGAGAAACTTATTTGCACATACAAACTAGTTACAGTTAACAGTTATTAATCATGAATATATAAGATATATATGGTCGAAAATGACTCTACACTGTGTATCAGGCATCTGACTATTCCTTGGAATTTTCAAGTTTCCAAAATTATTTCATTTTAAATATAACAATTCTTTAAAATACTGTTCCTTATGGAACGTGGTGTATCGTTAAAACGAACATGTGTTATAACATCTCAGTGTCTACATTTAGAATCCTGTTAAGCTATTGGAAACTTTGACCAACAAAAAAAAGGGATAAAACAGCGTTAGGAAAAGGGATGGCAATTTTCTGGTCACGTGGCTCAGCAGCGTGAGCCTCAATACCAACCAGCCTTCAAGAGTCAGAGTCAGGCATTGCGTATACGCCGTGTGCGTCAAAACGCAAATGTCAAAATTGGCCAGGCTAAAAGGGTCGCGTTGGCCGAAAAGCGACTGGAACGGGCATTTGTCCAGGAGCTAGAGTGTGTAAGAAGGCGTGCCAGTGGGCGTGACTGGGTGTGGATGTGGATGTGGATCTGGATGGGGAGTATCGTGACCAACTCGGCGAGTAGCTTAGGCTATATGCGTGCCTTTGGCATATTTGTGTTACCAACGCACACCCTCGCCTCGATTCAGTCTGCCAAGAGGTTGGGATTGGAGGTGGAGGTTGTGGGTTAAGGTGGAGTGAGCGATAGCAAAGAGCAAGTTCAATGGCTTCCCTCATAAATCCATCGCCGCAGCCAATGCAAATAAACAAAGGCTTCGAGGGAACGCAAAATGAGAAAAGCGAGCTTCAGTCTCAGTCCTTGGCCCCCCACAGCAGGCAATATTCGCAGTTGAGCGCATAGATAGCCAAACAGCAAAACAACAAACAACAAGGACAGGACGACGCACAGGATGCATGCCATGTGCTGATTAAAATCCCAACTTCGCGTAAAAAGGGAGCCAGGTGGAGTCCGTGCTCCGGAATTCACTATGTTTACAGTTTGGCCATGGCTTTACGTAACATAAACTAATATGTATTTATATATATATAAACGTTTATGTTAAAATCAGTAACAAATATTATAAATTCTTAAAGTCTCAGCATATCATATACCATCTTTGTGGTATAAATTTGCTTAAAATTAACTCT